CCCATACGACAGCTCCAGAATAAATTGATCAAGTGCTGAACATATGTGACACACGCTTGAATCCTGTGGGGATCAAAAGTGGCCCAATTCCATATTGACTGATTTCTTTTATTCAGCTGATTAAATGATAACTTCTTTTGCACGGTACCCGTTAGCTGCGCCCCCCTCCCCCCACGCCTTGCCAAATTTCTAACTGCTTCGCAGTACGTAAGGTGGGCCTTGGCCGCCATTACAATGTTACAGTTTTATTTAACTGTTTGGGGAACCATCGTCATTTTGGACTAATGTAATTTCAAAAAGGTAATAATAATAATTTTATTAGTCACTCTTCGGGAGCGCAATTTTTTTTACGGGAATAGTCGTAATGAACGTTCTAACAAGTATTTTCTAGAGAATGAAAACCTATGCAAAGGGTGTGAATGTATGCAATTCCAGTAACAGAAGGTTAGAAAACCGAATAACGTTGAATGCCAGCTTTTTCAATTCCTCATTACTCTGCTATCAACGTCAGGGCGAGTCCATGTGCTCCGAAAATTGAAATTAGGTTTATATCTTTCACTTGTCTGTGTCATGATTTTTTATACCTATTGAAGTGACCGGGAGACCGCTCATTAATGATAAAATGAAAAACGCGGAGAATTTGTTGAAAAAGACACTGTATTCACCATCAAGCCTTTAACGCACTTCAAGGAATTCAAAACTGAACGAAACGAGAGACGATGCTTTAAAAGGAAAGCCTAAGATTGAAAGAGATGAAGTCACATTCCCGTGAAGATAAGGAATCACCCATGGAGTGGAGTCGAATCTGCACATTTACGAAGGAGGAGCAGGTAAAACCCATTCGTATTTGATTCTCAATTTATCCACTCATTCGGGATTGCCAGATTCTAGGGGGAAGTGTCAAAATCTTCTTTGGTGTAAATTCATTGCAATTAAATTCAAATAATTTTTATCCTATTTTTCCAGTGTCAAAAATTGAAAAACACTCTCCTCCAAAGACAAAATGATCCAGACCTGTTGGTCCGCGCGAAGAAATTCACCGAAGCAGCAGAGGTCGAGAAAGAAATGGAAACCTGGAAAAGAGAAATAGAAGAGCTATCAAAATCCCGAACACTGATCGTCCCCCAGACCCAGAAAGAGGCCAAGAACGACCCTGAAACGATGATAAAGTGCCTGACGATCATTTTCACAATGGCCCAAGCAACATCAGTAACGACCCTGACATCAACCCTGAGAAGCCTCTTCAACAACCTGGCGCTCCCCAGTATCGACCAGGACGATGCAGGGGTCCAGGCCCAGGCTCTGAAGGC